AGGTCAAAACTATTTTTATAGGAACACTTGGTGATTTTTTGCCTCAGACTCATTCTTTCGCAAGTGCACAATGGGGTTTTCCAGAGACCACATGAAATGCAGTGTTGCGACAGATTGAAGAAGCAGATAAGAGAACCAAGCTGTCTCCCAAATAAAGATTTCCAAAAATGTCAAAGAATGCCACTCTTCTCACTCATTTGTTTTGGAAAAGTTATTTTTCATTAAAGTGTTATTTATGTTAGCATATAATAGATTTATTATTTTTAAATGAATGAATTGAATTGATATTTAAAACTTTCCTGTTTTGGCCGGGCATGGTGGCTCATACCTGTAATCTGAGCACTTTGGAAGGCTGAGGAGGGCAGATTACCTGAGGTCAGGAGTTTGAGACCAGCCTGGGCAACATGGTGAAACCATGTTTCTACTAAAAATACAAAATTATTGGAATGTGGGGCACATGACTGTAATCCCAGCTACTCAGGATGTTGAGGCAGGAGAATTGCTTGAACCTGGGAAGCGGAGGTTGCAGTGAGCCAAGATTGTGCCGCTGCACTTTATCCTGGGTGACAGAGGGAGACAGAGGGATACAAAATCAATGTGCAAAAATCAAAAGCATTCGTATACACCAATAACAGACTTAAAGAGAGTCAAGTCAAGAACAAACTGCCATTCACAATTGCTAAAAAGAGAATAAAATACCTAGGAATACAACTAACAATATAAAGGACCTTTTCAAGAAGAATTACAAACCACTGCTCAACGAAATAAGAGAGGACACAAACAGATGGAGAAACATTCCATGTTCATGGTTAGGAAAAATTAATATCATGAAAATGGCCATACTGCCCAAAATAATTTATAGATTCAACGCTAACCCCATCAAGCTACCAATGACCTTTTTCACAGAACTGAAAAAAAAAAAAACACCTTAAACTTCATTTGGAACGAAAAGAGAGCCCGCATAGCCAAGTCAGTTTGTTTTTGTTTTTTTTTTTAATTGAGATGGAGTTTCACTCTTCTTACTTAGGCTGGAGTGCAATGGCGCGATCTCAGCTCACCACAACCTCCGCCTCTTGGGTTCAGGCAATTCTCCTGCCTCAGCCTCCTGAGTACCTGGGATTACAGGCACATGCCACCATGCCCAGCTAATTTTTTGTATTTTTAGTAGAGATGGGTTTTCACCATGTTGACCAGGATGGTCTCGATCTGTTGACCCCATGATCCACCTGCCTTGGCCTCGCAAAGCCAAGTCAGGTCTAAGCAAAAAGAACAAAGCTGGAGGCATCACACTACCTGACTTCAAACTATATTACAAGGGTACAATAATCAAAACAGCATGATACTGGTACCAAAACAGAGAGATAGACCAACGGAACAGAACAGAGACCTTGGAGGCAACACCACACATCTACAACCATCTGATCTTTGACAAACCTCACAAAAACAAGCAATGAGGAAAGGATTCCCTGTTTAATAAATGGTGTTGGGAAAACTGGCCAACCATGTTTAGAAAGCAGAAACTGGACCCCTTCCTGACACCTTACACTAAAATTAATTCCAGATGGATTAAAGACTTAAACATAAGACCTAACACCATAAAAACCCCAGAAGAAAAGCTAGGCAAAACCATTCAGGACATAGGCATAGGCAAGGACTTCATGACTAAAACACCAAAAGCATTGGCAACAAAGGCCACATTAGACAGATGGGACCTAATTAAACTCCAGAGCTTCTGCACAGCAAAAGAAACAATCATTAGAGTGAATTGGGAACTAACAGAATGGGAAAAAATTTTGCAGTCTACCCATCTGACAAAGGGTTCATATCCAGAATCTTCAAAAAACAAACAGATTTACAAGAAAAAAAAAGCCCATTCAAAAATGGGCAAATGATATAAACAGACACTACAAAAGACATATATGAGGCCAATAAATATGAAAAAATGCTCATCATCACTGGTCATTAGAGAAATGCAAATGAAAACTACATTGAGATACCATCTCACACCAGTTAGAATGGTGATCATTAAGAAATCTGGAGACAACAGATGCTGGAGAGGATGTGGAGAAATGGGAATACTTTTACACTGCTGGTGGGAGTGTAAATTAGTTCAACCATTGTGGAAGACAGTGTGGCACTTCCTCAAGGACCTAGAAATAGAAATTCCATTTGACTCAGCAATCCCATTACTGGGCATATATCCAAAGGATTATAAATCGTTCTATTATAAGGGCACATGTACACGAATGTTCATTGCAGCACTGTTTACAATAGCAAAGACTTGGATCCAACCCAAATGTTCATCCATGATAGACTGGACAGGGAAAATGTGGTACATGTACACCATGGATTACTATGCAGCTATTAAAAAACGATGAGTTTGTGTCCTTTGTAGAGATATGGATGAACCTGGAAACCATCATTCTCAGCAAGCTGACACAAGAACAGAAAATCAAACAGTGCATGTTCTCACTCATAGGTGGGTGTTGAACAGCGAGAACACATGGACACAGGGAGAGGAGCATCACACACTGGGGTCTGTGTGAGGGTGAACTGTGAGAGGGACAGCAAAGGGTAGAGATTTAGGGAGGGATAACATGGGGAGAAAGGCCAGATATAGGTGATGGGGAGGAAGGCAGCAAACCACATTGCCATGTATGTACCTATACAGCAGTCTTGCATGTTCTTCACATGTACCCCAAAACCTAAAATGCAATAAAAAGAATACACACACACACACACACACACACACACACACACACACACACACACAAAAGAACCCTCATTAAGGCTTTACATGAAGTGGAATTGTCAAATTTACATCTAGAAAATTAAAACAATTTATGTTCCCACTTCAAATGTACGGGAGTGCCAATTTAACTGTATCCTTGTCCACATGTGGTATTTGTTTAAAAACAGTGCCACCCAGTTTTTAAAAACTTGATTACCCTAGACACCCAGTTCTCACTGTGCTTGAAGGATACTTTATCTCTGAAATCTTTGAAATTCTATCAGAATCTCTTGGCCTTAAATTTGGATAAAACATAAAATGCATCCTCTTTTTTTTTCTTCTCTTTCTACTTCCTTCCTTCATACACATAATTTTCTTCAGTAATTTTTTTGGTTACTACTTCAGCTTTATTTGTTCTAGAATGTGGACGTTTTGAAAACACATTCCATGTCTCTCTTATTCTCTATTGTGTCATGGCTGTAGTATACTAGATGCCCTATGCTCAATAAATTTGTCCAAAAAAAAAAAAAAAATAGTTTTTGTCCTCTGCAGAGTATTGGGAAGGTTGATCTTCATATTTCTAACATGTTTTCTTTCATCTTGTTAATCTATTTTGTCCTGTTGATGTGAGTTGTAGGATAATTCATTTACTGATTTTTTTATGTTATTAATTTTTGTTTGATTATATTTGATATGCTACTTACTGCGTCTATTGCTGTTTTAAATTTGGCAAATCATGCTTTTCATCTCGGAAAATCTTTTCATCTCTGAAATCTTTCCTCAGATTATTCTGATTTCATTTTTACAGATGCAAAATTTCCTGAAATTCTTTTAAAAATGCACGTTGCATTTTATTATTTTTCTTCAACTTATACCAGATACTGTGAGACTGTCAAATTTCTCTTTCAACTCTAGGGCATTTAAACTTTAATATTAATGTGTTTAAAACCCGTTAGGACTGGGAAATGAAAGAAAATGGAGTTCCCATTTCTTCCTTCAATCCAGCCACCTCAACACACAATTAAAAACTGGTATTGGTGCTGGACACAGTGGCTCACGCCTGTTATCCCAGCAGTTTGGGAGGCTGAGACAGGTGGATCCTGTTAGCCCAGGAGTTTGAGACCAGCCTGGGCAACATGGTGTAACCCATCTCTACAAAAAATTAGCCACACATGGTGGCTTGTGCCTGTAGCCCCAGAACTTGGGAGGCTGAGGTGGGAAGATTGCTTGAGCTCAGGAAGATGAAGTTGCAGTGAGCTGTAATTGTATCAGCCAGGGTGATAGAGCAAAACCCTGTCTCAAAAAAAAAAAAAAAAAAAAAAGTCGTGAAATTTTTATTAGTATAAAGTTACGTCTGAGAGTTTTGTTTGTAAAGATTACCATGTGGGAGTAATCTCTAGACATTTTTGACTTCCTGACTTATTTTTTAAGGACCACCCCCCCCACAGGTGGAGAACTGGATCAGGTAAACAAGCAGAGCTTGAATATACACTGCCATTTTTTAGAGGACCGTGAATTCAGAACTTGAAAGAGTTGGAGTTCTTTCTTTCATTAATTACACTTTGGAGTTTTGCCCTTAGGACTGAGAAATGAATGTGAGTTCCTTTTCTGTAGGAGTTCAGTCTAATGCTAGACATACATGGTAATAAGCACAGTCAGTGTGACAGAAATCTGTGGTGTGAAGGTAAAGTGAAGAGACCCGTAATTCATGGTTGATGTTTTCCACTGTGGGGCCAGCATGGGTTTTGTGCAGAACGGAGGACATTTGAGATTTCATTTTGGGGTAATAGGAGACTATAACCTGGAATGGGTAAAAAAAATTACAAAGCAATGCTTACACTCAGGTTGGAAACCTTGAATTTGTACTGGTGCTAATTAATGGTTTTTTTCCTAGTAGTATTTACTGCCCCTATACAGGGGTGGAAAATGAAACTAGTGTATTTACTCTAAATAGGTGATTTGAAGGAAAATGGAACTGAGCAAAGTAGTGCTTTATAATTGACCCCAGTTTGGGGGATAAGACTGCTTGAGACTCATTACTTTTCACATTATAATATAAAATTAATCATTAAAGCCTTAAGTAAAACTGGAGGTTTTTGGCCAGGCACGGTGGCTCATTTCTGTAATCTAAACACTTTGGGAGGCTGAGGCAGGTGGATCATTTGAGGTCAGAAATTGAAGACCAGCTTGGTTACCAACAGGGTGGAACCCCGTCTGTACTAAAAATATAAAAATTAGCCAAGTGTCTTGGCTCATCTTGTAATTTCAGCTACTTGGGAGGCCAATACAGGAGGATCACTTGAACCGAGGAGACCGACATTGCAGTGAGCCAAGATCATGCCACTGCACTCCAGCCTGGGAGACAAGCAAGATTTCATCTCACACACAAAAGAAAACAAATATACACGGTATGTTTCATCTCGTTGTACTTACTCCACTTGTGAAAGCTCAGATTGTCCCTTTTTTAGCCTGTGGTGCCACTTCTGCTTGGCTCCTCGGTTTTCTAAGAATCCTGTTTGTGCTTAGTTTTTTTGTTTTCCAGTGTGACAGGATGTTCCTAGCTTATCTTGCATATTTCCTGCCTAGCCACTTTTCCAAGGAGAATGTGGACATTTAAAACAAAAACAAAGTTTCTGCGCCCCAGTCACATCCCAAACCAACTTAATCAGAATCCCTGGTGGGGATAGGGTCCAGAAACAGACAGCATCCCCAGGCCGGAGTGCAGTGGTGGGAGCTCAGCTCACTGCAACCTCTGCCTCCTGGGTTCAAGTGATTCTTCTGCCTCAGCCTCCCAAGTAGCTGGGACTACAGTCATGAGCTACCACTCTCAGCTAATTTTTGTATTTTTAGTACAAATGGGGTTTTGCCCTATTGGCCAGGCTGGTCTCCAATTCCTGACCTCAAGTTATCTGCTCGCCTTGGCCTCCCAAAGTGCTGGGATTACAGGTATGAACCACCACACCCCACCAGGATACAGTATTTTTTAAAAAGCACTCCCAGCCTTGGATGGAAAACCGCTTGAGGAGAGTATGCTGCCTTATTGGGCTCTGTAAATGCCTTATCTCTGCACAAGGCTGGAAATTTGAGTGGAGTCCTTTACTAAAGCTCTCATTGCTACATGATGATTTTTCTTCCCTCTCCTGCTTAAAGCTTGTGTTTCAGAATTTTGACCTGAATGCATTGGAGTTGAAAGCCAGGCTTGATCTGTCATCCCAGGACTGTGACAGTTCTTTTACTTGCCTACTGTATGTTGAGTTGGGGCTCATCTTCGTGCCTCTGGGAAATAAGTTCTTTGATAACTTGCTTAGAGTCTCTCAGTACTTTCCCTTGCCCTTAGAATCAGCACCACAATATGTGGCCTGCAGTGTAGACTGTGCACAGCCTTCAGTGTAGACTGCTCTGCCAGGAACTCTTGGCCAGCAAGAGGATTCCAACCTGAGTGGGAGGTGCGCAAGAAGAAAAGAAGACAGACTAGCGGGGTCAGGAGGGTTGAGGAGTTAATGCTCCAACAACAACTTCATTTCACAGAGGTTCAGAATATATACATTTTCCAGGTTCTTATCTATGTCATTGCAAGAAGAAAAACAAGTAGATAAATCACAGACCCGCTACAATATAGATGACTGATAAACAATAACTGACCATAAGATGTAGTGATTAAAGGTGTTGTTTACATACAACATTGTGCCTCATGACTGCATGTGATCCCAATTTACAGATCCCTTTTTCTCCATATGGTTATCTTTTAACTAGATTCTCCTTTGTATTCTTGATCCCTTTATTTTAAGTTCCTTCTTCTTGAAGACTCTGCGTCTGGGCTCAAACCACCCGTATTGTGAAACTCGCTTTGCAAGATTTCACATGGGAGGACTCCCAACAGGTCCCCCTTTTTTATTTTTGAGTTGCAACTCAAACAGATCAAACTGCAGTTGACGAAGAGATCAGAACAGGATTCGAGAGATCAGAGGTAAAAGGAGAATCAAAAGGAGGGCTAATATCCCCAGGCCAATTAGGGAAGATAACGATGGTATTCTGGACCAATGCATCCAAGAGGACAATATGTCTACAATATCTTTAGCTATCATATCCTGAGGACGTTCTCTAGAAGCATCCATCGCATGTATTTGTCTTTGCAATTTATCAATATCTAAGGATAAATTATTATGAGACCATATGCCTTGCAAATGGGCCTTGACTAAAGACCACTGCCATTCAGAAGCATTATATTTTGTATTGGTAACACTAATAAAAGGAAACAGCATGACATCGGAGTGAAAGACGATTTTGAATATCATATACTCTATCTCCCAAAAGAGTAACAGTTTCCGCCAGGGCATTTACCTTTGCTTCCAATTTTTTTTTAATCTGTATCCATTTGAGTTTCTAAGGACATAGAAATATTTTTGGCTAAGTGATTAACATATGCAGCAGTCTGTATATTATAGGCCAAGCTGACAGCAGCAGTGGCAGCAGTAGCAAGAACAGTAACAATTGCAACAATACTAACAATAAGCATTCCTAAAAATCTTTTGGGGCATATCATTAGATTTCTAACTTGTTGTATAACTTGTAATTTTCGATCATCATACCAAGGCCCAGAAATATTAACAGGAAGCATAACATAAGGGGGTTGATGTACAATCATAATAACAGGAGTGGGAAAGACAGTTGAATTGATACAATTAGTAAGAACACAATTGGGACAAGCTATAAAATAATGTCCACTTATTTCACTTATAGATATGTTTCCATAAAGAATAGCATAGGGGAGGCTACACAAGCTTATACAAAAATTGTTTTTGAGGCGAATAATTGCTTCTTATACCAGCTTTCATAACATTAGGGGTTAAAGCTAAAAGTAGTCTCCAGATAGAGGAGTGAGTCTGACCAGAAGTTGTTAAAAAAGGAGTAATCCATCCTCCTGGACTTTCATGACGATCGTACCCAGTTGACAAAGGAGTAGAAACAGACCAATCATACAGAACAAGACCAGTTGGTAAAGTATGTTACAACCTGTCCATGATAACATTACCTTCAAGGAGGAGTTTCAGGAAAGAATTGTGTAAATGAAACACAGGAAGGGTTTTTTTGAAGGGAGAGGCAGAGATGTTACATTTTCAGATTCCTTAATTGCTAAATAATATTTTCCCCAATCTCGATTGGCATAAGTTTCTTCTCCTGGTCTGAGATCAGGTTCTCCCTCAAACGTGTATTGTTGATTTCCCAAATCTAAACAATTAGGCCCTGAGTAAGAATTATCATTCAACTGTTGTCTCAAGAGGGCCCCAGCCCAAATACGAGAGGCATAAAAGTACACAGGAGGTGCAGCAGCTCAAGCAGTAAATGCATATGCTGCCTTTTGGGGTGTGATATGTGAAGATGAAGGGAGCCCCAAAATAGTAGTATCATTAATGTATATTGTAAATGAGAGATCATTACATGTAACCGGGCACAACCCGGGGATCTGGTACACAGGCCCACAAAGATGGTTCTTCTGCCCTTCCCCCTGGAACCTGACAAGATAGGATAGCTAACATGGCTATAAACATTACAGTCGGAGTTTTTGGGGTACCCTGTGAGTCCACAAGTTGGGCTGCTTCAGCACAAAAGTGCTTCATTTGAACCCAAGTAGGTAAAGGAAGACATGGGTGTTCTGTGCCAGGCGATGCTGCTTTCGACAGCGTCGGGGTGTGGGAGGAGTCAGATGCAGTCATCTCAGTCACGGGATTAAAGTCCCAGGATTTCCCATCGGGAGAAACTCCATGTTTTACCAACCATTCTTGGATTCACAAAGGGCTCAGCAGATCTAGGAAAAACACAAACATATCCTCGTCCTCATATGAGGACTGGATCAGGCCCATTCCATTTGTTAGTACATCTTTCCATAGCACCTCAGCTTGTGCTCTGGGATTGGGTGCCAAAAACGCTCGGCAGCGGAATGTCCTCCTATATCAAGGGTCAAAAAATTTAAAACATAAAGAGCATGTCTAAGCCAAGTATGAGGAGTCCTATGCAGATCAGCGCCTGACTCCCCCTTTTTTATTTTTTGTAAAGTCAATTTCAAAATTGCATGAGCCCTTTCAACGATTCCTTGTCCTTGTGGATTATAGGGTATACCTGTACGATGTTGGATATGAAACTGACAACAAAAATGATTAAATCCTTTGCTGATGTAAGCAGGAGCATTATCAGTTTTAAGGATTTTAGGAGGGCCTAGAATAGAAAAGACTAATAAACAATGGGCTATAACATCCCTAACAGCTTCTCCAGTATGAGCGGAAGCCACTAAAAAATGAGAGAAAGTATCAGTGGTTACATGTATATATTGAAATTTACCAAAAGATGCAAAATGGGTAACATCCATTTGATATACATGGCCACTTTGCAGTCCCCAAGGATTAACTCCATAATGAAAAGGAACTGGCAAGTGGGGGAGACATGCAGAGTATTGCTTAACAACTTGTCGAGCCTGTTCTCGAGTAATTTTAAATTGTAAATGAAGACTGCATGCATTTTGGTGATGTAAAGCATGAGATGCTTGTGCTTGTTGGAGGGGAGTGAGAACTGGAAAAACAGATTGAGTAAGAAGATCAGCCTGTTGATTTCCTTCACCAAGAGGTCCAGGTAGGTTGGAATGAGCTCGAATGTGACCTATAAAGAAAGGATGATAGTGCCATCGGAGAGATTCCTGTAGAGGAATCAAAAGGTGAGTGATAGTGGAAGAATCAGTAGAATATAATGGAGCAGTCTCTAGGTTTTGTACAAGTTGAACAACATATTGGCTATCAGAGTAAATGTTAAGGGGAACATCCCAGTGAGACAAAACAAACTGTACTGCGAGGAGTTCAACTCGTTGGGCTGAGGTTTCTTGAGTCTGAAAAGAAAAAGGTTGTTTATTAACAGAGCCAGCAGCAATACCAGATGAAGATCCATTTGTGAATGCTAGTTGTGCCTGTGTCAAAGGTATTTTAACACATTTTTGGGGGGAAATAAGAGTATAAAATTGTAAACTTTTATCAGCTGAAAGATGACAGCCAATATTTCCTGCGAGACCAGCAAAAGCAATTTGCCAAGTTTCTGAAAATTGCCAAAGCCAAGTTTGTTGAGGGCCTGTATAGGGAACAACAATTTCTGGAGGCTCATGCCCAAACAGTGCAAGAGCATGAGTTCTGCCTTTAGCAACCAGGGCAGCGACCAAATCATAAGGAGTGACTACTTTTCCACGAGTGGCAGGAAGGTGTAACCATTCTAATATTCCTTGTTGCCAGAAAACACCTGTAGGCATGTACTGCATACATAACACACAAACTCCAGGGTGCCTTGTCCTGTACTCTATTTAATTTTTGTTTTGCCAAGCCTCTATGGACAATCTGGTGTGTTTGTATAGCTTCAGGAGTAAGTTGGCGAGGGGAAGTAGGGTTAGAAGGTCCTTTTAAAATCAAATAAGGGTTTTAAATCTCCGGTGGTATGCTTGAGACTAGGTCTGGTCCAATTTAAATCCCCTAGAAATTTTTGGAAATCATTAAGTGTTTTCAATTGATAAGTATTTAGGTTTTGGAATTTCATAAGATTTTTTTTTTGTGATTCAATTATTCGTCCTAAATAGTGATAAGGGGCAGAAGATTGGATTTTTTTCTGGGGCAATTAGCAATCCAGCATTATCCAAACATTGTAATTGCACAAAGGCAGGCTGTAAATGAAACTTAGATGAAGCAGCAATTAGTATATCATCCATGTAATGGATAATAATAGGATGTTGTTGTCTTACGGGAAGAATAGCTTTTGCAACAAAAGTTTGACAATGGGTAGGGCTATTAGCCATGGCCTGAGGCAACACTACTTATTCATATCTGTCCCAAGGTTGTTCATAGTTAGTAGATGGGACATTGAAAGCAAATCTTTTACAATCCTATGGAGCCAGAGGTATAGTAAAGAAACAGTCTTTTAAATCAACAACAATTTCCAATCTTGTGGTATTACCACAGGAGATGGTAAGCCAGGTTGGAGAGGTTCCATTATTTCCATAGTTTCATTAACTTTTCTTAAATCCTGTAAAAGTCTCCATTTACCAGATTTTTTCTTAATAACAAATATTGGAGAATTCCAAGGGCTTTGAGTAGGTCGGATATGTTCTGCCTCAAGTTGTTCCTGAACCAACTCTCGAGCAGAAGAAAATTCTTTAGACAAGGGCCACTGTTCCACCCACACTGGAGAGTTAGATTTCCAGCAAATAGCATCAGCATGGGCACTGGGAAGATTAGTGGCCCCTGAGAAAAATACCCTAGACCTCGTCTGTCATATTTTGGAGGACAAATAGGTTCCAGTATTTCTTGTAAATCTTTACCCAGGCCTTTTCCTTCCTGATAACCTTGGTGTTTCATGAGTTGCCAAGCAATATTTCCTGTAGTAAGTTTAGCTCCCATTGCTTCTAAAACATCTCAACCCCATAGATTAACTGGGAGTTCAGAGAGAACATAAGGATGAAAATGCCCTTCATGTCCTTCATCATCAGTCCATTTTAATAACAGTAGATTGTTCAGGATTTTTACTTATTCCAGTGCCCTGTAAGGATGTCATTGAAGGAAAACAAGGCCATTGTAAAGGCCAGTGGTTAGCTGAAGTAATAAAAATATCAGCTCCAGTGTCTAGTAACCCTTTAAAAGGCTTGCTATTAATCCACAGTGTTAATTCAGGGCAAGAGGCATTAATAGATTGTACCCAATAAGCTTGATCTGAGGATCCAAAACCTGACCGTCCCCGTGCTTTGGTGGAAAGAGTTACCTATGGAAATGTTTATTGGTATAAGAAGGAGCTGAGCGATAGGCTTTTCAGGAGTTAAAGTAAATATTCCCCGTGGTGCCCAAACCATGACCGTAATTTGCCCTGTGTAGTCTGTATTCATAACTCCTGGAAGGACTTGTAATCCTTTCATGGTCCATCCACTCCTACCTAACAGGAGGCCAAAATGACCTTGAGGGAATGGACCAAAAATTCCTGTAGAAATAGCTTGAGGGCCCATCTCCGGAGTCAATACCTTTCGGGAGGAGGGATGGAGGTCAAGTCCTGCACTGCCTGGTGTTGCCCTACAGAGCTGAGAAATGGATTGGCCATTCCCAGATTTGGTATCTCCTGGAGGACAGGTGCCCCGAATTTCTGTGGGGGTTGGGACAGCCCCCTCTGGCCGTTTCCTGACTTAGGCTGTAAATAATTTCCTTGTGCATCCCGCTTAGAGTGACATTCATTAGCCCAATGATTTCCACGATAGCAGTGAGGACATTCTCCAGGTTGTTGCCCAGAACCATTATTTGTTCCTGCAACAGGAATTTCCTTTCCTCCTGGCAATTCTCCTGTACATTGTCAAGCTATATGGCCAGAATTTCCACATTTAAAACACTTGCACCCCTGTCCTCCTTTATTATTAAATTTACTGTTTACATAAGTGGCAATAGACATTCCTGCTTGAGCAGCAGCCATGGCAAGCCCCTGTTGATAAGCAGGCCCTATACTGGCACATAAATGAATATAATCAGCAAGCGTGCCCTTCTTTTTCCATGGCCATATAGCTGCTTGAGAGGCTGGATGAGCATTTTCATATGCTAATTGCTTAACCAATAGAGTGCCAGTTTCTCCATCTTGAACTAAGCTGCCTACAGCCTCTAATACATGGGATACAAAATCCTGATATGGCTCATCAGGGCCCTGTTTAACCTTGGCTAATTCTTCAGTGTTAGCCCCTGTAGCTGTAAACTGCTTCCAAGCCTGTAAAGCTAAAGTATCTATTTGCCCATATGCTATTTCTAGAAACGGAACTTGAACATTATGGTCTTCATACTGCCCTTTGCCAATGAGCATATCAAAAGGAACAGGAATTTGTTGAGTAAAATTTCTTTGCACTTGATCAAAAGCACGGTCCTCATAATCAGCTTTTCAAAGGAGATAATCTCTGCCAGAGTCAGGCTTCTGCAAGGTGACCCCAATCATGTGGAGGTAAAGCTTCTGTAGTCAGATTATCTAAAAGTGAGACAGTATAAGGGGCCATAGGGCCCCTTTAATTGAGCAACAGCCTCCTTTAATTCCTTCAATGTTTTAGGAGGAATAGGCTGATATCTATGAACTGTCCTTGGGCATTTTGAACTTCAACAGGGAAAAGGGAAGGGAACATACTATCTACATTAGTAAATCCTCTTTTATGAGACAACAAGGCATGAGTTAAAGGAGTCATGGGAGCAGTATCTGTGGCTCATAAAGTTATAGGCATACCTCCAGTAGGATAACATCCCATACCTGTTTCATTTCCCTTTATCACACTGTTGATTAGAGACAGCACAGGAACAAAGCGAAAGTAAATCTTGAAACTGTTTCAAAAAATCAGGGGCAAGGTAAGCATAATGGGACCAGGTTGCCAGTTAGGCATAGTTTCTGGAGGCTTACTAGGTTGCACTATAACCTGTCAGAGGGACATCATAAGAATTAGAATCATACTCACTATGGTGACTACAAGAACCTCTTTTGGCAATTTCTTTTTGTTCAGGCAATATTGGGGGAAAATCTGAATCCCCGGGTGCAAGACCTGCCTGTACTTGATAGGTAGGTGGAGCACATGAAGGAGGAGGAGAAGGATAAGGAGGGGCAGAAAGCAATGGAGAGGGACAAACACATCCATGAAGCTTACTCCAAACAGTGTTTAATATAGCAGTTTGAGTTAGATTGTCATTATGAGAACAAAAATAACTAATTTTTTCTCCAATAAGTCCCCAAGCCTATTCATCCAAAATTCCACCTTTGGGGACCAATGGACACAATTCACGAATAATTTGTAAAGACTCCTGTACCTGACTCAGTTTTATATCATGCCCTTGAGCCTTAATCATGGATTGCAGTAAATGTGCAAACAACTTATGTTCTTTTGACTCAAGTTGCCCCATTTTTACTCCTGATTATTCACACTTAGTAACCTTGATTTTCACACACAAAAAAATCTCAAAACTTTGTATATACAAAACCTCTTTGAATCTTTTAGTACTTACTGCTGCAGCCACTCACCTGAACATCACCAAAATCCCCTATCTCAGGTCCCTGTTCAGGCGCCACGTCTGCCGGGAACTCTCAGCCAGCAAGAGGATTCCAGCCTGAGTGGGGGTTGCGCAAGAAGAAAAGAAGACAGACTAGCGGGGTCAGGAGGGTTGAGGAGTTAATGCTCCAACAACAACTTCATTTCACAGAGGTTCAGAATATATACATTTTCCAGGTTCTTATCTATGTCATTGCAAGAAGAAAAACAAGTAGATAAATCAGAGACCCGCTACAATATAGATGACTGATAAACAATAAGTGACAATAAGATGTAGTGATTAAAGGTGTTGTTTACGTACAACATTGTGCCTCATGACTGCATGTGATCCCAATTTACAGATCCCTTTTTCTCCATATGGTTATCTTTTAACTAGATTCTCCTTTGTATTCTTGATCCCTTTATTTTAAGTTCCTTCTTCTTGGAGATTCTGCATCTGGGCTCAAACCACCCATATTGTGAAACTCGCTTTGCAAGATTTCACACGGGAGGGCTCCCAACACTGCTCAGTCCCCCTCTTGGTTCCTGGAGTCTGCCATGCTTCTTTCTACCACTAAGCATTTGCACATGCTGCTCTCTGCTGGGAATGCCTTTCCTTTCCTCATTACTTAGTTCTCCTCTACTTATCTTTCAGGTGCCTGCTTGACTGTCTTCCTCGGGGGAGCTTCTCTGACCTTGGTACACCAGATCAGCCCCCATTGCTGACTTTGTCTGATTGGTAATATTTCTCTACCTTTAGGACACATACCAAGGCCCAGAAGTCGCAGTTTTGCATTTGTTTGTGTGATCATTTGATGCATGTCTCTCTCTCTGGAGCCTGACTCTTTGGGGCTCACGTCCTGTCTCCACCAGATTTAGGTATGGGACCTTGAACAAATCTTTTCATCTCTGGTCCCCAGTTTCTTTTAACTGCAAAACAGGGATGATATAATACTTTCACCTACCTTGTGAGGTGGGGATGAAGATTAAATAATTTGTGTAAAGCACTTAGAACAGAGCCAGCTACTAATAGTAGAGAATCTTGGCAGATATTACTGATGATTCCTGCAGTGGACTACAAGCTCCGTACAGGCAGGGGTCATTTTTGTTTAGGTTTGTATGCACGGTGCTTGGCACAATGATGGTGCTCAGAAAATATTTGTTGGATGAATGAATGAAGTGGAGATAATAGTAATACCATGTTTATAGAATTCCATGAGGATATAAAATAATGCAAGTATGTAAGTTTTTGGTAGCATGTGTAGCTCATAGTAGGTGGTCAATAAATATTCAATGCCTGGAGGAAAATGGGGACAATAGTAATACCAGCTTATGAGGTTGTCATGGGGACCTAAGGTAACCCTGCAGTACCTTGTATAGTGCCTAGCACATGGTAGGTGCTCAGAAAATATTTGTTGAATGAATGAGTGAAGTGAGGATGATGGTAACACCAGCTCCTAGAGTTGCTATGGGGATAGAAGATAAGGCAGGTCAACAGCTTGTTGTATGATTGCTCCTGGTAGACACTGTTGAGTGGAATGAGAGGAGCTGCTGCGAGTTTCTTTTTCCTGGGGCTTAGGAGAGAATCCTTTTGGGGCGCAGAATGGTATGGAGCGGACACTGGTCCTTTTTTTTTTTTTTTTGTGACAGTCACTCTGTTGCCAGGCACCAGGCTGGAGTGCAGTGGTATGATTTCGGCTCACTGCAACCTCCGCATTTTAGGTTCAAGCAATTCTCCTGGCTCAGCCTCCCAAGTAGCTGGGACTACAGATGTGTGACACCACACCCAGCTAATTTTTATATTTTAGTAGAGACAGGGTTTTACGATGTTGGCCAGGGTGGTCTTGATCTCTTGACCTTGTGATCCGCCTGCCTCGGCCTCCCAAAGTGCTGGGATTACAGGCATGAGCCACCACGCCAGGCTGACACTGGTCCTCTTGAAGGAAGAATGGTCAGCTGACTACTACTTGCCTAGCTCTGGCCTGGATAAAAAGTTGAATCATTCCTTTCCCTCTTCCTCCCTAACCTGTTCTTTCTCTCCACTAGAATCCTTTCCTAGAGTCCAGCGCCTCATTCCTGTCCAGGATCACCTTCTGGTAGATCACAGAGACTACCGGAAGGTAAGGCTGGGCCCCAGAGACTTCAGGAAGGTGGTGGGGAATGAATGAATGAATGAACAAACGAATGAATGAATGAATGAATGAATGAAACATGCTGAGCACCCCGCTTCTCTCTCTTTTGCTCTTCTGCAGAGTTGTCTGAAATCTGCCTGTGCTAGCCATGTGGTCTCAGACACCAACTCTGTCCCCAAAATTCATCACCTTGAATGTGATAAACACATGAGCCATGAGCAGCTTAAATTATCTGCAGGAGGCTTGGCCTTTGACAGCCATACACTGGACTGCTCTTATTTTAGCTTCAGATTTGGGTTTTTATTTTTACTTTTTATTTCTTGCCTAGACATTGTGTTCGACCTGACAGATTTGGGTTTTTTAAATATTAGGTATAGCTATTATTGACATTATTCCCCTCCTGTCCCCCACTCCTTAGGAAAATAATACTGTCTCACCATAGGCAATGTGGGTTAAAAAAACACGTGGAGATCAATAGTGAGGAAACACTCAGAGGCAACCGTCACCATTTTTGTATGCCTTTTGGTCTTTTTTTTTTTTTTTGAGATGGAGTCTCCCTCTGTCTCCTGGGCTGGAGTGCAGCGGCACAAACTCAGCTCACTACAACCTCTGCCTCCTGGGTTCGAGTGATTCTTCTGCTTCAGTCTCTCAGGTAGCTAGGATTACAGGCATGCACCATCATGCCTGGCTAATTTGTATTTATAGTAGAGAAAGAGTTTTGCCTTGTTGGCCAGGCTGGTCTTGAACTCCTGACCTCAGGTGATCCACCCACATCAGCCTCCCGATGTGCTGGGATTACAGGTGTGAGCCACCATGCCCAACCACCTTGTGGTTTTCTTTTTGTACATCTTTGCCCATTGTCCACATCTTATTGGGGATTTTTTGAAGAGTCTTTCACCCTAATATGCATCTTTTTTTTTTTTTTTTTTTTGGAGACAGGCTTGTGCTCTGTCACTAAGGCTGGAGTGCAGTGGCACAATCATAGCTCACTTCAGTCAATCTACCGGGTTCAAGTGATGCTTCTGCCTCAGCCTCCCAAATAGCTGGGACTATATACACACTCCACCATGCCCAACAGATTTTTGTATTTTTTGCTGAGACGGGGTTTCACTGTGTTGCCCAGGTTGGTCTCCAACTCCTGATCTCAAGTGATTCTTCTGCCTCAGTCTCCCAGAGTGCTAGGATTATAGGAATGAGCCACCATGCCTGGTCTCATTTTCTCTTTATAAACTTCTTACAAACATCTTTTTAAAAGATTAGATGTTTTAAATAATTTCTTCAAATTACTATTAAAGAGTATCACTGGGACAGTTGATGTAATTTGTATATGACTGTAGGACACCAGATGCATGCTAATAACATTCATTTTTGTTTTAAAAAATTGTGCTCCAGTTACATAAGAGCATGTCCTGGATTGTAAGGGGATACCCCTAGTTTTTTTGGGGTAAAGATATGTAGAGCCTACATCTTAACTTTTTTTTTTGAGACAGAGTCTTGCTCTGTTGTCCAAGCTGGACTGCAGTGGTGTGATCTGCAGCCTCTGCCTACTGGGTTTAAGCCATTCTCCTGTCTCAGCCTCCTGAGTAGCTGAGAATTATAGGCATGCACCACCATTCCTGGCTAATTTTTGTATTTTTAGTAGAGATGGGTTTTCATCATGTTGACCAGGCTGGTCTCAAACTCCTGACCTCAGGTGGTCCACGCACCTCAACCTTCCAGGGTGCTGGGATTACAGGTATGAGCCACTGTGCTAGTCCTTTAACTGTTTGAATGGTTGAGAAAAAGATGTGTTTGTACGTGTGTGCGTGTGTGTGTGTGTGTGTGAATGGATAGAGACAATGTTACTGTAAACTTGGCAACATGTTAATAGTGGTGAGTTGAGTGAATTTTTAGTATGATTTGAGTAATTTTTTTCATACATTTGAAATTATTTTAAAACAAAAAATGAAAGTGTTTAATTTTTTATTACAAAAGTTTTCAGTTGGCTGAGTGCAGTGGCTCACACCTGTAATGTTAGCACTTTGGGAGGCCAAGGTGAGTAGATTACCTGAGATCAGGAGTTTGAGACCAGCCTGGCCATGTAGTAAAACCCTGTTTCCACTAAAAATACAAAAATTAGCCGGGCATAGTGGTAGGTTCCTATAATCCCAGCTACTTGGGAGGTTGAGGCAGGAGAACCGCTTGATCCCAGGAGGTGGAGGTTACAATGAGCTGAGATTGCGCCACTGTACCCAGCCTGGGTGGAGTCACATTGAAAGACTAATATAATAAAACTCAATAAGCTTATCACCCAGGTTTCACGACTGCTAATGCTTTGTCGTGTCAGCCTTTTTCCCCCCACCTCAACCTGTTTTTTTGTGGGGGGGTCTGGCTCTGTTGCCCAGGCTGGAGTGCAATGACATGATCACGGCTCCCTGTAGCCTCCACCTTCTGGCCTCGAGCAGTCTCCTGAGTAGCTGGGACTACAGGAGTGAGCCATTATGACTGGGGAATATTTTTTATTTTTATTTTTTGTAGAGTTAATCACCAAATGTTGCCCAGGTTGGTCTTGAACTCTGAGCTCACGAAGTCCTCCCACTTCAGTCTCCTGAAGTGCTATTATTATAGGCATGAGCTACTGGTCCTGGCCAATATTAGCCTTTTTTAATGTAAAATTTTAAAAAGTTGCCGGGGCATGGTGGCTTACGCCTATGATCCCAGCACTTTGTGAGGCCAAGGTAGGAGGATGGCTTGAGCCCAGCAGCTCAAGATCAGCTTGGGCAACATAGGGAGACTCTGTCTCTACAAAAATAAAAAATAATTAGCCACTCATAATGGTTCAGACCTGAAGTCTCAGCTAAGGAGGCTGAGGTGGGAGGATCACTCTAAGGCAGGAGCTGGAGGCTGCAGGGAGCCATGATTGTGCCACTGCACTCCATCCTGGGTGACACAGCGAGAACCTGTCACCAAATAAATAAAGGAATGAGGATGAGCATGGTGGCTCATGCCTGTAATCCCAGCATTTTGGGAGGCCGAAGGAGCAGATTGCCTGAGCTCAGGAGTTTGATACCAGTCTGGGCAACATGGTGAAACCCTGTCTCTACTAAAATACAAAAACTTAGCCAGGTGTGGTGGTGTATGCCTGTAGTCCCAGACATGGGAGGCTGAGGCAGGAGAATTGCTCAAACCCAGGAGGCAGAGGTTGCAGTGAGCCAAGAACACACTACTGCTCTCTAACCTGAGTGACATAGCAAGACTTTATCTCAAAACGACAACAACAAAAAAATAATAAATGATTAAAAAGTAGTGAATTGGAGCCATCTTGATATTTTTCTCCTAAATCATCTTTTTTTCCCTAAAACTTTTTTATGCACCCCCCCAAAAGAAAGCCATTTTTTCTTTATGACACAATAGAATGAGCTGTAATAACCTTGTAATATGTGCAAATGTCTATCCACATTCAGACATCCCCAGCTGTGTGGCTGCCTTTGTTTGTAGCGGGCAGTTGTGCTGGGGAGGGGCGCAGCATCGGCACGTGTGTGTGAGCCTTGTCCTCCGCCTCCTCTCATTGATCCTCATTGCCTAACCCCCTTGTGTCTTGGCCTCAGGTTGATCATCTGGGGCTACCACCAGCCCCTGCAGAGCAGTGGCCTCTGGTCTTTAAACAAGTCATGCCTGTTTTGGTAAAGAACTCGAAGAAGAAATGCGCCAAGTCTGGGAAGTAAGTGTGAGTTTCCTTGTCCTCTAGGATGCCCCGGTTCCCTCCTTCCCACCTGTGGCCTGAATCCAGGGTGTGGCCCTGGCAGTGCTGCTTGTTACTAGCTTTGTCGTTCTCACTTCTCTGGGCCTTAGTTTGTTTTGCTGCCAAATGGGATGAAATCTCAAAAGTCATTAAGACAACTGAGTAGAAAAGAAGAGAAGCTAAGCATGGTGCCTCACATTTGTAATCTCAGCACTTTGGGAGGCCAAGGTGGGTGGATCACAAGGTCAGGAGTTTGAGACTAGCCTGGCCAACGTGGTGAAACCCCATCTCTATTAAAAATACAAAAATTAGTTGGGTATGGTGGTGAGCACCTTTAATCGCAGCTACTTAGGAGGCTGAGGCAGAAGAATCGCTTAATCCCAGGAGGCGGAAGTTGCAGTGAGCCAAGATCTCACCACTGCACTTCAGCCTGGGAGACAGAGTGAGACTCCATCTCAAGAAAAGAAGAGAGAAAAACACTGCCCAAGCAGACAGTTGATGCTCTTTGTCATGGCACATGACTGTCCCTCCTTGAGCCAGTCTTACTTTTTCTGTCTCTGAGCATCTGGCATCCCGTGTGTTCCTGGTGTTTGAAGTATTTCTGTCCAACACAGCCAGCTGACCATGTACGTTCGTTTAGCCAAAGAAGCCCCATTTTTGGGTGACTGGCTCTACTGGATTTTAGACTACCCCGTATGTAAGGTGTGCCCCACTGCGCCACCTCTGTCATTCTTTTGGGAATCAGGTCAGGGCCTTTACTGCACATACCTTAACTCTTCAAATCTGAGATACCATCAGTTGCACGATATGTTATTATTGTGTGTAACAGTAAGAAAGAAAAACAACTGCCAATTAAACAAGGATGTAAGATGCATCCCGAGTCCGGACAAGCTGGAACGTGAAATTGCAAGTAATGTGGGGGCAGTGGATTGTGGCCATGGGGGCAGTAGGGTGGTTGTTTTTGTTTCTGTTGCCTATTCTGGGGTCAGCTTACTATGGTAAGCTGTGACAGAGCCAGCCTGGTGCATTGGATTCTCCACAGACCCATTGGCCTTACAGAAACAATCACCAGACCCAGGTTCAGTTCCTCATTCTATTCCAGGGATGCCCAGGATACAGGCCTTCAGTCAGACCCAGATGGTGGGCAGAAATCTGGGACATCCATGGTGCCAGCCACTCAGACCTCAGTAGAGGACCTTGTGATCCTGGTGGGAGGCTGTTTGGGTGGTCCAGATGATGAGAGAAATTGTCTCATGGGAGACTGATAGAGCTTGGACCTCCATGGCTGAGCATTGTACAGAAATGGCTCACATCCATGACCCAGTTGAAGGTCGTTGGCAGGCAGAGGTGGGGTCTTAGTTTACTACATGGAGACAGAACTAGTAGGATGGATGGATAGATGGATGGATGGATGGATGGATGATTGATTGGTAGATGATAGATGATAGATGGAGAGATAGTGGATGGATACATGATAGGTGGATGCATAGATGACGGATGGTTGATAGATGATGGGTGAGTGGAGGGATTGAGGGTGAGAGGGGATCTACTAAGGAAACTAGATCATATGATTATAGAGAAGTTCTATGCTAGGCCATCTGCAAGCTGAAGAACCCAAGAAGCTGATAGCATGGCTCAGGCCAAGTCCAAAGGTCTCAGACCCAGGGAAGCTGATGGTGGAATCCTCAGTCCACAACCAAAGGCCTTAGGACTTGGAGTGACTGGGGTAAGTCCCAGAGTCCAGAGGCCAGACAGCCTGGAGTTCTGATTTCCAGGGGCAGAAGAGGATAGCATCCTGGCTGCAGAAGAGAGATCCCATAAATTTACCATTTTTCTGACTTTTTCTTGTGTCTGAACCCTCTGCTGATTAGGTGGTGCCCAGTCACATCGGGTGAGGATGGAAACACCCTCACAGCCACACACTAAGAAATAACACTTTAGCAGCCATCTGGGTATCCCTTAACTCCATCAAGTTGACTCCTAACGTCACCTATCACCTGGATTCCTTCAGCCTCACCTGTAGTGTTCTCCCTGCTATGAAGGCCACATTTGTAGCATGGACTTAAGCATTCCTCATCAATGCCTGTGCTGACTGCCTGGCTCGGCTTCCTTCCATGGAAGAAGGATGCCCACCTTTGCGTTCCCTGGAGCTTGCCAGGCGAGCAGGTTGTTGGAGACACCATGGGAGAGGCAGAGCCTTGGGAGGAGGTTGGAGTTTGAATCAAGAAGCTCCTCTACTGACCTGGCTCTTAATTCATTGAGCAGGTGAAACTGACTGCTGTTTTTGTGCTTAGTGTTTAGGCCCTAAGGGTTCAGGGAGTGGAACAAAACACATACGCTTTTTTTTTTTTTTTTTTTTTTTTGAGTTGAAGTGTTGCTCTGTTACCAGGTTGGAGTGCAGTGGCATCATCTCAGCTCACTGCAACCTTCACCACCTGGGTTCAAGTGATTCTCATTCCTCAGCCTCCCAAGTAGCTGGGATTACAGGCGTGCACCACCGTGCCTGACTTACTATTTTATGTATGTATTTTTTTTTAGACAGTTTTGCCCGTCACCCAGGCTGGAGTTCAGTGGTTCAATTTTGGCTCACAACCTCTGCCTTTTGGGTTCAAGTGATTCTCATTCCTCAGCCTCCCAAGTAGCTGGGATTACAGGCATGCACCACCGTGCCTGACTTACTATTTTATGTATGTATTTTTTCTTAGACAGTTTTGCCCGTACTAATTTTGTACCACCACACCCGACTAATTTTGTATTTTGAGTAGAGACAGCGTTTCTTCATGTTGTTCAGGCTGGTCTCAAACTCCCAACCTCAGGTGATCCACCTGCCTTGGCTTCCCAGTGTGCTGGGATTATAGGTGTGAGCCACTGTGCCTGGCTTTTTAAATTTTTTTTTTATACAGACAGGTGTCACTGTGTTCCCCAGGCTGGTCTCCAACTCTTGGCTTCCAGAGATTCTCCTGCCTCAGCCTCCAAAGTAGCTGGGTTACAGGTGCGATCCACCATATACAGCTGAGTTCTGGTTTATAATAACCCAGGCTGCCCTGGGGAAGGTAGATATTAGGGATGGGAGTGAAGGCAGGGAGACCTGGGTGGGGACCTCAAGTCCTGTCCATGAAGTTCCTTCATGCCTCACTGGGAGCCTCTGTTTTTTCACAGGGTCTCACTCTTTTGTCCAGGCTGTAGTGCAGTGGTGCCATCCTAGCTCACTGCAACCTCCATCACCTAGGCTGGAGTGATCCTCCTGCTTCAGCCTCATGAGTAGCTGGGTCTATGGGCACGTGCCACCACATCCGGCTAATTTTTTTTTTGTAGAGGTGGTATCTTGCCATGTTGCCTAGGTTGTTCTTGAGCTCCTGAGTTCAAGCAATCAACCTACCTTGGCCTCTCAAAGTGCTGAGATTACAGGCATAAGCCTCCGTTTATTACCCAGAGCATTTTCTGAAAATTCAGTGAGATAAGTGTCATAAGAAGCTGTGCCCTAGTCCTGGGTAAATGCTGGGCAGCTTTTAGTTGTACAAGTTGTATTTATTCATCTCTACACTTCCATCTTGCCAGGGAGGGTGTGGTGAGAACTGGCTCATTGGGCTTGAAAGCAGGCCACCTGAAAGGGGGCTGGCTCTGTGAGTATCTTGGTGTTTAGGGATGCTCATCTTGGGGCCAGGGTGTCATTTCCTAGGGACATTGATAGATGGATTGCTTGCTTTATTCCCAGAGGCATAAGCCAGATCTGGCACCTGTAACCCCTGTGGAACTGGAGAGAGTGACAAGAACAACCCTGTCCTAGGCTGGAATTTCCTGGTATGGCCCTTTACACCCAGATCCTTTAAGTTAACTGGAGAAGGGAATGCAGCTTGTGCAGGTCTGGGCTGCCTGGGTTTCCTGGGCTCAGGGGCCAGGTGAGGGAGGCCTGGGCTTGGGGGTCTGCATGGCTTCTTGGCCCCCTTTACAACTTTTCTTCACCCCTGAATGACTTCCTCTCAAAAGTCATGTGTGCTGGGGCATGGTGGCTCTTGCCTATAATCAAAGCACTTTGGGAGGTGGAGGTTGGAGGATCACCTGAGGTCATGAGTTTGAGACCAGCCTGGCCAACATGGTGAAACCTTGTCTCTACTATAAATACAAAAATTAGCTGGGTGTGGTTGCACTTGCCTGTAATCTCAGCTACCTAAGAGGCTGAGGCATGAGAATTGCTTGAACCTGGGAAGCAGAGGTTGCAGTGAGCTGAGATTGCACCACTGCACTCCAGACTGGGAGACAGAGTGAGACTCCATCTCAAGAAAAAAAAGCAGGTGTGAGCGATCTCCCTTCTTAGGTTTGAAAACCCAAGGCTTCATTGGTTTGTGTGTAATAGTTTTATGTTCTCTTTTTTTTTGTATGTGGCCTCTTAGAGCTTAAAGCCATTTTGGATTGTGGTTTCTGGTGGCATGACTATAAAATGCTTCTGTGACTCTGGAAGAGTTTGGCAGGTTTTTTTTTTTTAAGTTAGACATAGTGACCATACAGCCAGCCACTGCCTTCCCAGACATCCACCCAACAGAGCCGAGAACATATGTTTATAAAAGATTGATACAGGAACGTTCTTAGCTACTTTGTTTGTGATAAACCAAACTGGAGGTAAGCCAGACATCTGTTAGCAAGTGAGCAGACTGATTTACCCATTATGTGCAAATGTACAACTGAATACTAAGTTATGTACAAGAACGAACTATTGGCTGGGCACAGAGGCTCATGCCTGTAATATCAGCACTTTGGGAGGCCGAGGTGAATGGATCACCTGAGGTCAGATTAAGACCAGCCTGGCTAACATGGTGAAACCCCATCTCTACTAAAAATACAAAAATTAGCCAGGTATGGTGGTGTGTACTTGTAATCCCAGCTACTCGGGAGGCTGAGGCATGAGAATCGCTTGAACCTGGGAGGCGGAAGTTGCAGTGTGCTGAGATGGCACCACTGCACTCCATCCTGGGTGACAGAGC